CTGGCTCTTCTCTGGACAAAGGCAAATTAAACACTGTGTTTCAGCATGAGGGCATAGTGATTCTGCAGCCTTTCTAAACAGTTTCTTCAGTGCTGGCACATTTTTTAGGCATAAAGAGAAAGACAGCATTCTCTTATGCCCTTCCATGTCAGAGACGGTACTTTAGTTTCACTCTGGTGTAGGATGTTAGCACCCCTGATAGCAGGAGACTGAGTTTAGTCTCTCTGGATTCAGTAATTTTCTATCTAATACCCAGTTAAGCATCATGCTGTGACTAAGAACCATGTTCCATGTAGGTGTTTTTGGAAGCACTGCCACTTCTGCACCCGAGTGCACCTGCCCCCAGCACTTCACCAGCAGAGTTACCGTGAGCAGCCGTGGTGCAGTAACAAAGTTTTGTTACTTACAGAGAAAATTTGAGCAAGTAACAATCCAAAAAGCTGCCAGCCCCTAAGTAGAGATGTAACAGACTGATTTATGGACACACTGAGTTGCATAGCTACAGCCACCCCTGCTACAAGTCCTGAAGCAGACACTGAGTTAATCTGAGTTTGAGGTATTGGTTACACAAAACAGAAGTTTAATATTACAGTTTAATTGTTTTCCTTCAAAATGTAAGCTTCCAATTCAAGTTTGACAATTGCCAGCAGTGACATAGAAAGATTACTTGGGTGTGTTAGCAAATGTGTATCACATTGCTGTAGGGCGAGATGAAAAACCAGTGCTCTTTAGATCTTGCATGCTGAGTAGTCCAAAGGCATGTTAAAGTTAACTCCAACAATAACTCTTGTACTAAGAAACTGAACAGGGAATGCTTAGCCATGTTGACAGTCTGTTGTATTTTCACACAATTTTTAGCTGTTGCTTTCTGCTGTGAAGGCCTGATCATTTGCCAAATGATGGAGAGCTTTACACATTGAAAATGAAACAATTCCAATCTCTTGGAAAAATCAGATATATTGCCTGATTTCACTTAGTAAGGTCACATTTTTATTGTCAGAATGACAGAGCTTCATTTGCAAAGATCTCCAGTTTTTGCAAAATCAAATCCCAAAAAGAGCTGTTTTTTCATCTGCAAGTTATGATATTTTGTATAACCAGCTGTAGATCTTAGAGCAGGAAGAGAGCTTATTTCATTCTTATCCAAAATTTTTGCATGGTATTTGTGTCATTCAGAACTAGCACTTGTATACAATATCTGTATCATATTTCTGATCTATGGAATGGCTCCCAGTTACAGTGGAAGTTTGCCTCTATAAATTTATCAAAACTGGTCAGATTTAAGGATGTTCTTCTATCAACCTGTAGCCTTTAGTAAGGCTACATCAGCAGTAAGGATGAAATCCCAGCCATACTGAAGTCGCTCACAGACTTCCTATTAAGCCCTGCTGAAGCTGCACCATATAAATGGATGTTCTTCTATACAGCCGTATAAAGCCTTGTAGAAGTACAACATCTGAACACAACATACCTAGGAGAGTGAGACACTGTGTAGCTCCTCACCATGAATGTTACTGGTGCTGTCTCTAGTAGCACCACAAATACGTTTTTCACAGCACTGAGTCATCAGACTCATTATTGGAGAGAAGGCCTAAAGCCGAGAGATTCCAAACTGTGCTGCAAATTGTAGGATCACTCAGAACGGGCTGGACACCTTATTCAGCTGTATAAGCACAGGAACATACTAAAGGACTTAAGTATTTTCCATTCCAGCACAGTTTTAGTCAGAGCTAATGTCGGGTAAATCGCAACACACCATCTTAGCCCATGACAAAATGGGTTTGAAACATTTGCTCTCCATGTGCCACAGAAACCGCTGGGCACAGCAGTGGCATAACCCCAGCCTCACTGAGGGGCAGAGGCTGCCATCCCCCACAGGACTATCCCAGCCCACCTCCCTCACAGGGAGCCTTGGGAGCCCCAAGGACATGGCAGAATTGGAAGGGACGAGACAAGGATACGTACCGGCAGTGAGGGAGCCCAGGGCCACGGCCGGAGCTTGAATGGCGCCGTGGGGGGCGCCCAGGTGGGGCCATGAGGGGTGCTGGGGCTGGCAGGCGAGGCGAGGGGCTGTGCCCGGTGCAGGCACCAGCAAAAAACATGGGAGAAAAGCCGAAAAAAAGCGGCTAACTGGAGCCACGGCTCTGCTCCTCTGGGGCTGCCTCTGGACCGAGTGGAGGGTCGGGGCTGGCAGCCCGAGGTGCCGCCCGCTGGCCGGTGAGGGCAGGGCAGAACCGGGCCGGGCCGGGCCGGGCCGGGCTTGTGGCGGGGTCCGCGCCCAGCCCCGGGCTCCAGCCTCGAGGGGCTGAGGGGCTCCCGCGGCCCTCCCAGGGAAGGGGCCGCTCACTTCTCTGTCCCCCCGGAGCGGCTGCGGGGGCTGCCCTTCGCCAGCCCGGCCAGGGCTCCTGCGTGATGCGGGACACAGCCCCGGGCGCCCGCCGGGAGCCGCGGCTGCCGGGCGCTCTCGCAGAGTGCCGCCCTCACCTCCGCCGGCCGCGCCTGACCGCCCGGCCGCGTCCAGGGACGGGAAAGGTGAACCACCCCTTTTGCTCTGACATCTCCCCAAATCCAACTGCTCTCAAGAAAGTTGAAAGGCGCGCATCAATTTTTTCCCTAAAATGTTCTTTATTTGCTATTTTGAAATAGGGACTGAAAGTTGTTGCTATTGGCATCACTACAGGCACATTTTCAGTGCAACCGCAGAAGAAACAAAAAGGTAGATTTAAGAAGGAATGAAGAAAAACTACAAAAGTGGTGAAATATGGTGGAGGTGGGAAAGTGAAGATGTAATTTCATGTAGGTGTTCTCAGTGTCTTTTCTCCACTTCTATAACCTGTGGAATTTCAGTTACAGGTGGTTAGGAAAACATTAGGGTAGTTCAGGGGAAAAAAAAACCAAAAAAACAAAAAAAACCCCAAACAACAAAAGAACACCGTGTCTTGGAAACACCCCACTCATTAAAGCAACTATTACTGACAAAAAAGGATAAATTAGTAAAATAAAATACCAAGTAACCATACTGCAGTGAAAAAAGAAATTTCATTTTATCTGATTCTGGAGTTTTCTGTCATAATTGTCATTTGGAGAGAGAAAGAAACTAAAATCTGTGTTCGGAAATTCAGAAATAGAAAAATGCTTTTCACATCTAAATACAGCTCTTGCATTTGTTGAAAGAAAAGTTACTTTGATTTTTGTTGCTAAATAAAATCTTGGATCAAGTAAAATTAATTTTAAAAAATTAGTTAAGGCAACAATAAACACAGGAAATATACATGAATAAAGTGTTCTAAAAGTCAGGCAACTCTTTTAAGACTATAAATATCACCTAAGCAAGGCCACTATAATTAGCAAAGGGTGAACAAAAGAAGACATCCAGAAATAGATGGGGAGGGGGAGGCTGGGAGGGTGAAATGTCTTGGTTAACCTTATTTGAGTGTTCTTTCCATAGCATAGGAAATGGTTCCAGCTAGCTCATGAGTTCTATTGGTATTAACTGATTTTAAAAGGACATTTCCATGTTGTCTCTATGCCAAGGAAATTCTTTTACTGGCGTGTTCGCTGAGTACAGGAAACATCATCCTGACTAAGTGACACTGAATGTGAGGAAGAATTGTATCTTTATTCTGGTGTTACAGTCAATACTGTCTCTTTGTTTCATCTGGAGACCTTTTGGTATTTATTGGGGAATGCTTAGTGCAGTCTCTCAGTTTATCCTGAGTAATGAGCACACTGGTGGTGCTGAGTCATAATCCCTCACCACTCAAGAAGCAGCTTTCTGCATCTCTTAGGCAACTGATTAGTCTGAGGGATGATCCAGCACTTCAGGGGAGGCAGAGACAGGGCTGTCTGATCACACGCTCATCTGCTTCATCCCTCTTCAAGGTATGGGCAGAAGAGACTAACAGTGATGGGAACCTTCCTCATCTCCACACTATGGCCAGAATTCGCTGTGCAAAAAAATAAACATGTGCCTGTAACTGCTTACTCTCCTAAATAGAGAGCTGAACAAATCAGCCTTATATATAGAATTTTTCAGAGCAAGTCAGGCTGTGCTTATGGACCCAGTCTGGTACTGCATATCAGAAAAAGCTTTACTGTAACCAATGAGAATTTTGTCCAAATAAAAAGTGCTAGTTAAGATCTTGAATACTGTATTTCCATTTTCACTTGTAGCATTTGCCAGTTTTCTGTTTTCTTCTGTAAAGCTGCCTGTGTCAAGCATTTAAGTTTCATTTGCCACATGCTACTTCTAAATTCCTTGTTATCTACTTTATCTTCTTTTCCTTTCTCTTTCTTGGAAATTGTACTAGTGCCATGGCCACTACATAGGCAGCAGTAACTGCAATTATTTGTGGCTTTGGGTTCCACAGACACTGCTTCAATCAGTCAGTGGTTTCATTGACAAGCCCTCAAAATCTTTGTGTACCCTTTTTGGAAAAGGTGGAAATATTTGAGAAAAAGTTTCATGGTATGTGGATCATAAAGGCCAGCAGTCATCATACTGATAATTCTAGAGCTCAGTAAAAATCACAATAAGACCACAAAGTTATTTAATCCTAAGTATTACCTTTCCTTCATGTAACAGCTAAAACACATAGAAAGAATAACAGATGACAATTGCCCAGCGTTTCTGTTTCTGCTCCTGTCTGTGCAGTGGTTTTAGGGCAATAACAACCCTGTCCTTAGAACTGTGGGAAATGGCAGGGATTTGTCAGAGCGGCTGCTAGGAGACATGAGACTAAATTAGGTGGTGCAAATAAGTCTGATGTGCAAGTGGAAGCCAAAACTAATGTGTAGCTTTGTACCCACATCACTATAGCATAAAATAGATTCATTTTCTTTTTTGACAACCCCACAGTCACTGAGGTATCTTTAATCCACACATGGAGAGAAGAGCAGGACATAGAAATCCAGCTGCTCACAAATTCTACTGAGCATTGTTTGGGTTAGTACATATCATACTCATGAAAAACTCATAAAAAAAAAAATACTCATGGAGTATTTGCCATATTGCTAAGATTTTACCTAGAATTTCAAGTCTTTGAGAAATCTAAAATTGCTGTAAGAAGTAGCACTGCCTTTCTGGTGGCAGGGCTTGGAAAATAATGGTTTTTGCCTATAACACAGTGAATAAACAACAAGAATATTAACAACAGCAACAATAGTAACAATTTTAAGGAGAAAGAAACACATGGCAATTGCTTTACTTAGTCCATAGCTTGGACCCATCATTTACAAGATAGGTTCTCATTTGGCAAGTGTGGTCAAGGACAATGCTGTCTCCTGATTAGGAATGAACTTGCAGGGAGAGTGTTCCCAATAGGAAGGGTTAGACCTCAAAGTGTGTATTTACATGAGTAGCTCATTTGGTAAAGTTGAACCACATTTATTTTTAATTTGCATGCCTCTCCTTTAAGTCATACCCTTCTCCTCTTGACTTCAGTGGGAGCTCCACATGTTTTGCCTTTGATTCCGCTGCATGCTGGCAACTCTAATTAGTGTTAACAGGAGTTCAGTGGAGTTTTCTTGCTCTCCTTTCTCTGTAAAAAAGTTTACAGATCAGGAGTTGGAGCTTTATCAAACTGGTACATGGTGCCTATCAAGAATGTATCTTCTTTTCTTTTTCCCAGCCAAAGTGGAACTTAACATTTTTCTAACAATGGTGGCTTAACTATGAGAAAAATGACATTGATCATTCTAACAAATTCCCCTTAGTTTTGATAAAATTGCGTAGTATTGGCTTTGATTTTTTTTAACAGGTGTATTTTCAGCTAGTTAACACAGCCTTAATGTTTCAATTGCTATCATAGTAAATTGGTGCAGTAAACACAAGTTAGAACAGCTCAGTTCTCTGGGGCTAGAGCCTGCAATTCAAACTAAACCTCAGAAACTGCTTTGAGCTCCAGAGGTATTTTGTATAGGGGCACTTTGCTACATGGGAGAAGACTGGGAGTATCCAGTCCTTTTTTACAATGCTGCTGGTTTTACTAAGAATAAACACCCTCCACTAAACCCATGCCATCAAACATCACATCTTGCAAACAGAAATGCTGTTCCATTTTGAGATTTTAATCTCAGACATTCATACCCATGTGTATGGACAGACACAATAAACAGGAGTCACTTTTCTCCTTCTTCCTAAGAACTGTCGCATGTGGCTTTCTGTGCTCACATAATCCTCCTTCCAATATTTCAAAAGACACAGACCTTCCCAGCATGATGATAAAGTTTTCCTGTGTTCCAATAATAAAAGTTGAATGTACCAGTAATTTCCAGTTCCTCTGTGGCTGGGCAGCCTGTGAAGACTAAATCAGAAGTAGCCAACCTGCAATATCAGTGTGGGAGTCGGAAACAGATGTTCAGCGGACAATACAATTTGTTGTCACTGTCGATACTATATGGCACTTTTCCCAACAGAAATTGTCTGTAGTTGGAAAGGAATGTAAGGAATGATTCATGCCCCAAATTATTATTATTTGTTATATTACTGCTAATGATAAATACTCCTTGCTTTATTTTGTTTCAAATGCCTGAATCAGAGAGGCATATCCACTCAAAAATACAATTAACTGGGCTTGTAGCATGCGTGTACTATGTAATCCAATTATTTTAAGGCTTTTTTCCTCAAGACAAGATATTGTGTTATATTATAACCAAGAGTCAAATTCTCTTCTTTAGAACCAGCATAATTTAACCTTCAGTTTTATAAAATAGTTCAGCAGCTATTTACACAAAAAGCACATGACAGGAGGTAAACGAGACAAATTATTTCATGTGAATCTGAGTGTGTATCTATAAAAATTAAAATTTATTATATCCACATAATAGTATTTTTATACATATAATAACATTTACAGTAGTTTATGTCTTGGAAATTCTAATAGGCCATTTGGGCATTCAAAACAGATCAAACACTCAAATGAGCAAAACCCTCTATTAGCATATGATGGTAGCATATGATGCCTAGCCTTGATTTCCAGATTTCATGAATATTACAAAAGCAGATGCACTAGATCATACTTACTGTAAAAGGAAATGGATTGGGTTAGGTGCTTCTGAAATTAAATATTAATTTTTTTTCAGCGATACATCAAATATATTAAAAAAATGCAGAAAACCTAAGTGAAACCAAAACGAAATAAAAAATTAATTAATATGTTCTGTAGGAGTGCAAGAGAGCTAAAGATCTGACTGCCAAAAATTTGTTTATAACACCTATATTTTACACAAAAAGTAACACTAGATATTTTCCAAAATGAAGACATCTGGAATTTGACTTGGAGTTCAGTGAAACTGGTGACAAAGTGACCTGTAATTGCTGACTGTTGTGTCTCTGACAGACTTTTTTTAGAGATATTAAAAAGAAGAAAATGTGTGTTTAATCATATGGCCTGAACAAAAGCAAAAGATTTTAGCACTATAAAATCAAACAGCTGTCTTATTTTTACAAATGCATGTGGCAACACTTCACAGTAATCTTTTTGTAATACTAATTTTGCATTTACTGTGTTTACCGTTGCAGCATTCTGCAACAGAGTGGTTTATGCTGTACATCAGGTTTTAGTCAACGGGATACATGAAATGATTTTCAGCTGTGCATTTCTTTGTAACTGCACGATTTAGCCTCAAAACCTATCCATTGTCCAAATTTTTTATGCTTTTAGATGTAGTGAATTTAGATATATTTCCATAGTGGAACACGAGGTGATTTTGAGAAAGAGCTTGAACATTGCAAAATTTTCCAAGTCAGCATGAGACTAAGCAGGATGAAATAGCTGATAAGGTAACACTTAGCACACTTGTAATCAATGTGCTGAATTTCTGTGTGTGTGTGTGTCTGTATAAGTATATTTTTAGATATATTCATGGGTTAAACTGAGTTTTTCATCAAGTAGATGTTGGCAAGTGCCAAAGTGATTTAGGATTAGAATGGGATTTAGGCTGATTTAGCTACAGTTGTATTTCTCATTTCATCATCATGCCAGGGATACCGTGACAGTTGTGGGGTTTCTTTAATTTATGAAATAGACAAAATTAAATGTCCATACCAGACATACCATTAGGTTACAGGGAGTGAAAGAGAAGCACTGCATTAGGCCTTACTCTTTTGTCTGCACCCAGCAGAGTTCTGAATGTACAAAACAGCTGGGAAACTTCCTATGTAGCACACAGCTTGAAAAATGAATTCAAGATTTTTAAAAATTTAATCTGATTTGGTTTATTTCAAGTGACTGTTATTCTGATACTGTAGTATATCTCTTTGTAAAACATTAATAGGTACAGAAGTGTGCTATCTGGGTCTATTACATCATTTTTAATACTAACTCTACTCTCATTTTTACCATCACGAGAGCTGAATCCCAATAAAACTTTGAACTTTGAACACTTTTTATTGCAATACTAGACATATACTAGATATATAGTAGAGCTCATACTACTTAAAATTTCAAAAATTACTTTATTAAAATAGACCTGTTTACAAAGGTGACTAATCCATCCTTTTCAATCATAATGCATTTTTTTCATTAATTTTTATCTGCTGAACGACACTTTGCTGTCCCTCCTTGTCAATCTAATTATCTTTTTTTCAAAAAAGAGGCTTCAGAAGGAGACAAATGTTGATGTTCAGGTTATAGGAAAAATTTCCAAAGAGATGAAAGAAAAAGAGATTACTGAAATTAGCAGCAGTGTGTCTCACCTGCTAGTGAGTGGAGTGAGCAGCACTGGGAGGAGAGGAAACCCTTGGCCACTGCATAGCGTGGCTGTGTACACCAGAGTTACTTAGACTGCTCTGAATCTCATCTTTTGATCTCCGGCGATATTTTTCTCTGTTATGTCACAGAGGTCACCTGGCTCATGTGTGACAAACTGCCTGCATAAGTCACAGTGCCAGTGGCAGAGATTTGTAACCATGTCCCTGGTCCATTGCCTTTGAATTATTTCGCAGGCCCTCTGCTTTACATTTACACTCTGTCGGAAGATGAACAGGGGAAGGGAGTAAAATCAAGGGCAGGGTCTCATCCTGAAGGACAAGGGGAAACAGGTGGAAGGTTAATGGCCCTGGAGCGTATCCACAAGCCTCTCAGGCTTGATATATGGGCCTCAGGCCTAAAACGGGCATTGGCTTTCAAAGATATATTATTTCATTTGAGGAGAGACATTCTGGAGTTCCTGCATTTGTCTGCTGATAGATGATCCTCTGTCCACAATTGGTTATGGCGTGTGAGTTTTCCTTGGGCCTGCTCCCGTACATAAAAATTCTGCTGAGCTCTCCAACCTTTCACATGCCTGTGAGAATGGGACGTGTGCGGGCCTTTTGGCAGGCAGCTGGGTTTTTGTTGCTGCTATTTTCGTAATTCCTTTTGAAGCGCCAGGCAAGTGGGGGATGAAAGGCACTTCTGTTCATTCATACGCGGCCGGGCAGGGGCAGCCTCGCGGGGACACACATGGGGCAGAAGAAGACGTCAGGGACCCATTATGCACTCGTGTGTCTGCAGCCCATGCAGAAGTCACTCCTGCTGACCCATATTTTATACTGGCACATGCCCGCAGAAAAATGAAAATGGGGAAATAATTTGCATAATTTTCATTACTTCCCTTGGTTTATTGTATTAAAGTTTTTTGGGGTTTTTTTGCATAGGATTTTTGCATGTGCTTCAGCTTATGGGAATAAAACTAAGATAGAAATTTCTTATCTTAAAATTTTTGTGTCCTTCTCCGGAATGTTTACCTCAGGCACCTCATGAAAATGAGATGCTATGCCCACATCTCAGCAAAGCACCAGAGGCTCCAGGGCTGGTTCTCCTCAGTATGACAGGACTGTGCTGTGGGCAGGGCACAGTGCTGGCAGGACCTGGCCCTGCCCCATCTCTTGTGGCCAGCACAGAGGGGCACGTTGGCATGCACAGAGGAGCCGGGTGGCAAAGGCCTGGGTCCAGAGAGGAAGCCAAATTCACTGCCACGATGGCATTCCCATGGCATCTTCTGTCATTGCATGACTGTCATAAATTGTGGGAAAATCTGTTTAAAAACCAAAGTGTTTAGCAAAAGCCCCCAAAATCTTAACGTATATTTTTGTTTAACATAGCCTACATAACAGCTTAGTAAATTATCTCAAATTTTACCTGATTGTAGTTACTGTTACAGGATTGTGTATCTAAGGCCTATTACTCTGAGGCAGCATGATTTTAAGGAAAGTGGGATATATATTTTTACTATATAAAATATATTCATTTATATTTGTTTTAATAACAAATAACTGTTCCGTTTCAGTGGACAAATTTTGCTTGAAAGAATTTGCATTAAATATACTTAAATATCTCGTAGTTCTACCTTTTTTTGTTTTTCCTATGCTACTAAAAAAGCAAAGTAAATGCGGGATATAAGACATAAGTTTCAATGCAGTTTGATTGCTCTGTTTTTGCAACAGTAAAACTTGTACTAACATAAATTTTAAAAGCATTATATTGGTACCATGTTGTTTGCATAATTAGGTTCTTCTTTTGCTGTCACTGAACTCAGTTGCAAAACTCTCCAGTGTGAGAAGATCGGGCTCATTCTGCATTTCAGTCAGTTCCTGTAGAAAACTTGTTGGTGCAATGCAATTATACTTTCTTCCTTTAGTGTTCTGCAGAGTTTAAGTTAGACAAGTGAGCTAGAAACTTGAGATATTTAGTGTCTCCTGCAGCCATAGGAAGGAAATCTGAGGAGTTGTTAAAAGGAAAGATTTAGAAGCAGAAATTCTACAGAGAGAACAGAACAGAGTGTTAGCAGGCAGGAGGATCTGCTTTTCCACTTGTTGCTTTGATAACGGATAAAAGGCTGTCATGAACTGCAGGCTACCAGCTGGGAGCAGATAGAGTAATCCCAGCAGAGGGCTGGCCCCAAACTACACAGGCATTCTTTTAAATCTTCAAGACCATAGGAAAGTTGTTTTTCCCCAACCATTGTCATCATTATTCATGATGATGTTTTCCACCCTAATTTAAAATGTTGGTCTAGTAAATCTACCTTACAATACTTTTATGTTTGAAATATAAGCAAATATCAGCAAATACCACGTAGTCAGAGATATTTCAGCTATTTCATTCAACTGCCTGAAGATTCCCAGAATAAATTCCAGAGAACTGGATCTCGATGTGCTGTAAGAAATCTCTGTCATTTGATTGTAAAGGTATAGTGTGCCAAACATGCAGATAATCATAGGAACAATTTGTAACCTATGTCTTTCTCGTAATCAACACTCGTGATAAATGAAATCCAGAGGCTGTGTTACTTGTAAGAAAATAGCAACAGAATGTCATTTGTTAGAAAAGGAGCCCAAGTGACCCCTGCCCAGAACAAACACAGGCAAACACAGTGACAGACAGAGCCTGGCAGACCCATGCATGTGTAGCCCTGGTGATGTGCATTGTGCCACCAAGGTCATGTTACCAACATGCTTAGACACATGCTTTGCTGGGCCAGGGGCATTTGTTAGCATGTTACATACGCTTGGCAAGATGGGGTGCTACAACCTGCATTATTGTGGAGAAAATAAAAAATATTTAAGCTCTGGTTGTCCTTCTATACTGTTCATTTTAATGATATATGTCGGGGTCTAGCTTACTTTGTATTCTTATGTGTAATTACCCATATAAAAAACCACCACTCATTAGTGTTCTGTTCCACTGACTTAATTATACTCTTTAATTAAATCTTGACTAACTGGGGGTCACTGCAGTGTCAGTGGGATTTGTCACTGTTTGTCAGCAGGTGTCTGGTCACATCTATTTCTGGTTTCCCTGTTGCTGTATCCTGTTTAAGAGCATGGTCTTTTTTAAATGCAAAGGACAATTATGCATTACTTCGTTGTGGTTTGTGCCTTAAAGAAACATAAGCTAATCCGTTCTGTAGTACGAGTGCTCTGCCACTCTTTACATAGAGGAGGTGGGGAACGTAGCAAGTATAAACATTTTCAAAACACAATTCATTATCTCACTGGTGCTCATTTTCAAAGGCTTGTTCTTCCTGCAATCAAAAGACACGGTGTTACTAATTTATCAGATAATCTTGTGTTCAACAGGCATAAAAATATATTGCAAATATCAATCCAGAGATTGATGCTACTCCTTTTTCCTATCTCCCAAACATGAAATGAATTTGAAACATGACCAGCAAGAATGAGCTAAATCAATATTACATGCATAACAAATACTACATGGCATGTGCTGCTATTGCTGTGCTGCTCAGAGTCAGAAGATCGAGGCTCCCGATTCACTGTTCCCTGAATAATTCAGTGGGAGTTCTGCATGTGCAATAAGGGCATAATAGTGCCATTTCTGTCTGTTTCAAATTTACATGTTTTGGGTTTGTTATTTTAGAAAGTTACTTAGGGGAAATATAATTCCCATGTTTACGCATATAATAGGCACCTAATGTTCATCTGAATAATTGATTAGTCAAGTCAGGCTTTCATAATTAGCTATTGGCTTTTCAGTATAAGCCCACAAAGCACTTGTCAATCTACAGACATTTTTAATTTATTAATATATATGTTATCAAAAGAGCTGCAGTACTTACCTAGAAAACATTATTTATTCTATCGAGGTTAAGAAGCATTTAGATTCTAGACATGTATTTTGAATCTATTGTAACTTTCCCAGAAGATTATTTTTCTGTTCTGAAAGTTTTCAGAAATGTTCTCTGCCTGTAAGCTCTTGCTTACAGTGGAAATTGTAGTGGGTTTTTTTAAAATCCATTCCTGTGTTACAAAGAACTTAGTGACATGTTTTGCTGAATGTAACATTATGTGTATTATTTATTTGCACTCAGATACATAATAAGCATCTAAATAGATGCCACTAGCAGATATCCCTAATGCAGCTACAGATTCTGTGACCAGACAGGTGCATCTGTTGATAGCACAAGTGTCACAGTGATATTGCAATTATGAGTTGTGAGGCTGTATGGTAAATTGCAGGATCATAAGATAAATTGTATTTCTCATGAACTTCATGACCTTGTTTGAACTCTACCACTATTCCAGTTTTGCTTCCTCATATTTCTGATCAGTTTTCAAGTGGTTATTTTTAAAGGGAAAAGACATAGCCTTACTCCAGAAGTACACTGTGAGCCCATTGGTATGAAATTCATAAACCAAAACATCTGATTTTGAAATCTAGAATGAAAATTGTTATTTTCTTACTAGAGGTAGGTTAAAACAATCAGATCAGAAATTCTATTGTTGTTTTATTGGGAAAGAAACTATATATTTCCATTGGGAGGCAGCATTTACTTCTAGCACTTGTTGAGTGTGAGGCACCGAGTCTTAAAAAGATAGTGTTATTATGATTTCTGAAAAGGGTGTTTTTATTCTCTATATGCTATAACCTTACTTGCCCTTGGCCCTGTTCAGGAGAATCACCCTCATTTTAGTGAAAATATTTAATCACCAGCTTCCCATCACTGAGGTAAGGACAAGAGCTTTCCTGAACCATCTGAGACCTGTACTGTTGGATGTGTATTAGGTTCCTTGCTTTATAAGTGGAAATGTACACATATAATATCAGGATTTTAAACCCCTTCTAGATCTAAAACACTTCTGTTATAGAATAGATTTTAGTTTGTTTGGAAAGGACATGATGTAAAAACTACAATTTAGTGGTAGGAAAAAATATGCCCATTTTGGTTGTGAGATTTATGTAACTGTGGCTCACCACTATGAATTATGTGGTCTCACAGAATTCAGACAAGTTCTTGAGCAATACTGCAGCATCTTGTGCACCATACATGTTCTGCATACTCTCAGTTTCTATTGGAAGGTAGGAAAAGTACCAGAATCATTCTCTTGAAGTTTGGTTACATACTTCCAGTTGAAAAAATGCAAATATATTTCTAAGGGTGTCATTATAAATTCCCTCCTCTCCACTATATCCTGTACTAATATAACCTTCTGTTATCTATTTTTATATCCATTCCAAAAGAATAAAAAATTAAATGCTAGTTTGCAAAGATCACATATTTAGTGTCTCTGTAGGAGTCAGAATCAAGTTTGCAACTGCCATACAGTTTTCTACATGACATTTGTACAGCGTTCACATTTCAATCAGTGTTATACCAATATAAGGATTTTCTACTGGGATATCTTTAAGCATAGTAGTTTCTACCTGCAAAGTGTTTATAATTTAGGCTGGTCTGCTAATTTAAGGATTTGAGGTATGTGAGTATTGAAATGTTCACATTCTCACTATTAATGTGCAGAGGTCTCACTGGTTTCCCTGTCTGTTACCCTTAGTTCAGAAACATTTCCCAGTGGTATTGCATTGCTTGGTTCTTCCATTTAGACTTTGAAAGAGCATTGTTTTCAGTAAGTGTTTTACAAGTGGAAATAGATGTGTCTGCTAAAGAGATTCATATTTGCATCATTAGACAGGTGTTCTGATCACAAGGCGGAAGAGAGATCACATACATAAACAATGAATTAAAATCCTGAATAGGATTGCTAGAGCTGTTTTTCTAGGTTACAGCTAAATGAGGGCCATTATGTGGGCTTTCAGATAAACTCACAAAGCTCTTATCTGTATAAACCTGATAGATCTGCCATTATTCTCAGTGACTAACAGAAGTTATATCATTTAGTTTCATTAAAAATGCATTAATCCTTTTTTAGTAACCTTTTCCTAATTCATTGATTCAATTATACAATGAACAATAAAAATGTTTGGTATAATAAAAATACAGTATTAAAAGTGTGTTATATACATAAATATTTCATTGCAGTGAAATTATTCAGAGTTTAAAAATATTAACAATACTAATATCATGCTCTGAGACAAAAAAGTGTACCCTTTTTTCAGCATCTCTGAAATTATACATTAAAAGACTGAGTCTTTAAAGTTAGATGCCCGAAACGGTTGCTTATAGCATTACATGTGGTCACTTCATGTACAGACTTCCTGCAGAGTTGGTGATGTTTACCAGCACAGGTTGATTGAGGGACAGCAGAGCATTACAGAATGTATGCACATATTGCTTATAAATTCTGTGAACCAGGCTCCTCTGATCAGATCAATTCTCCCCAAAGTCACTGGCCTCTGGCCTAACTGAAAGCGGACTGACTCCCAGGCTGGACCTTGAGTTAATGCAAGTATGGGGAACATTTTGCTTGGTGAAGGAACACTCAGTGCATGGCAGCACTCTGAGCAACTTCCACAGCAGCAGCAGCTCCTGCCATCCCACTTACACCAGCTAAATAATTCAGACCACCAGGACTCCAGTCCAGCTCTCAGTCTGGCAGTTCAGCCAAGACTTTAAGTGATTTTGACAGAGCTAGTACTTCTTATCATTTTGTATTTGGTTTCTGGAGAGCACGCTCCTTTAGTGGCTGTATTAAACTGTTCTCTCAAGCGCCAATAGCCCGGCACGGCTGAGCAGGTGCTGTGGGAGACGGCCGATGCTGCAGGCTGCTGTGAAAAGCTGGTGCGATTTCTGCAAGCATACCAAGACTAGAGGAGCAGAAATCTCTTCATATTTTCATTAGTCATCCCTTTACAGATTTACTTTTAATTCTTTCAGCAAAGCAGATTATTAAAAGCAATGACCTGAGGTCTTCATTCAGATCTCAGACTTGCAATCCTGTATAATGTGCGCCGCAGGGCAGAGGTCACACTGACGAGTCTGTTAATGTAGTCACTCTGGGATAAGATCAATCTCCATACTTCACCATATTGATCTAATAGCTCATTGGCACTTCCCTCTTTGAATTGATTAGCTCATGTGTGAAAAGAGATTGATGGGTTTGTGACCCTGAGGAGTCTGTCAGGGGCACACCCATGGCAGGGGAAGTGCATGTTTTCACTGCTTCATTTGGGTGGCTCATTATCTGGGTGCCTCATGAGGAATAAGGGTCATAACGTTGTTTTATGAATTATTTACAACAAAATATCATGTTTTTCTTTCATTTGGTGATCTGCCTGTACTGAATCCATTCTAAAGCAGAACTGGAAAAAATACACATAAGTGGCCAAATGTACTAAATATTTGTGTAAGGGGAACCATGACATAAAAGTGACCTTAAAAAGCAATTTTACTAATATAAAGTAATCATAATAGATATGAGGGTAGGAATAGACTTCATGGGTCACCTAGTCCATTCCCCTTATGAAATGACAGAATATTGATGATATCTAGAAATTAATTACATTTTAATTGCATATTCTGGATAAGTACTTACAGTGAATCTAGTTCAGACATCTCAGAGAACTTCATATGCAGAATGCACTGTAGAAAGAAGCAATTTGAATGCAACATGTGAGCTACAAACTAAACTATGCACATTCTTCATTTGCTAAAAGTAAGAAAAAAACCACCCCACATTCAACTCCATTTATCAAATAGTCATATATTTGCAAAATGAATAAATTTGATACAGTATATTGGATTTTGGTGCAGTGTGTGCTCATGCAAGAGGAAATACAAAAGGACCTGTCTTATGAAGCTGAATTTAGAAGTTGGCTTATGTTAGGGTGTACTTTAAAAACGTGTGCGTTATCAAAGGCTTTACAGATACAAAGCAATTAAAGTAAGGACCGGCTCCTTGAAGCCTTTTGTTGAAACCCAGGCATTTTTGTATCTCTGTCTGCATATGAATTGTAGAATCAGTCTTGAAGACATTCCTAATGTAAGACTTTCTCGTGCACCATCCAAGATCAGGATTCTGTATAATGCCACAACTGTTGGTATTTCATGGTTACATGGGATGTCAGGTTAAATGATTATGCTGCAGTGCAAAAATTACTGAGCAAAATATTCTCATGGTGTTGCCAAGCTGATGGTCATATTTATGTAAGGAGTCAGTGAGTTTCACCAATAATATCTTGTTGTATTATTTAACTGGACATTCTGTGTTTGTTTAGCAGGCTGGCAGTTTAGATTGAAAGACTGATAATTTAATTTAAAGAGAAGTGTCCATGTATGCTCTATGCAGTCAGGCAACCTTTTTCTGCTATTTGATTTATGGTAACATAGATAGATACTGCCCAAAGACAGTAATAGTCAGTCCATCCCTAAAGACCTTATACTCTAAAAGAAACAGACCCTCAGGCAGATTAGCCAAAGACAGAATTCAGTCTACTATCTGTCAGTGACACAATGCTGAATATTTGCATAATCTTGCATTCATTTATACTTTTAAATCATTCAAGCTATTCTATGTACCAGGAAAATTACCCTGATATAGATTTAAGTGGCCATATTTTAAAAAGTTTTAATACAGCTCAAAAAAACTCATTAGAGGCAGAGTCATCATGCACTCTACTTTGGTAAAACCAGAATAAACCTCAGATTAAACAACAAAACTTCTTACATTTGGGTGTTACGGTAATCTTTTAGTCATGTCAAACCTTCAGTAATAAAATTCATATTAAACCTCATTACAAACCAAAGTAATTGGTTCTTAGGCCTAGATTCATAGTAGATTGCCAGATACTTGCACATAAGAAATGCAAAAAATGATTTTTTGAAGAGAATGTTTCCATTTTATTGCAAGCTGTTGCCCATTGGCCATGTCTCTACCAGTCTGAAACTTAGCTCCTGCAGTTGAGGTGTGTGGTGCACTCATGGGTGAACAGGAAGTAATTAGAGCATCCTGATTTTGTTGTTCATCATTTCGGGCATCTAATCACTGTCATTCAGAAACAAGCTATAAAAAACCCAGTAAGTTAGATGTACATACTCTCTCCATTTTTCCTAAACACGCAGCTAATCTCCTATTGCATGAAGACATGTAGGAACCCAATTTAGAGACTCACAGACCTCTGTCCAGCTGTGACAGCAGAGAAAGTCAGAGGCTGACTGATTTGTGTCACAGTCTACTGTCATTTTTGCCTATAAGGTTCCTACTCATTCTGTGTTCCATACTGCAAAAGTTCTCTCATCCACATACCAAACAACCCAAATAAAACCAGTATCTTCAAAGGTATTTTTAAAAATTAATATTAATCTTAATTGCAGAGCTAATGACAATATGGGACCTGAGCAGAGCTGTGACAATTGTATTTTAATGATGCTTCAGAGATTTCCAAATTAGACTACAGGAAACAGGAAGTAGAAATAAATGAAACAAAGCCAAATGAAAGGATGAATGGAAAAAAAAAACATTTTAATACACACTTGCCTGTTCCTTAAACATTCATTCAATCAGGACTTCCTGTGATTTTTAATAACATGGCTCTCTGTCTGCTCTTTCACACTTGACTGTGTTGGGAAAGGAGGAAATATTTTGAAGACGATGTTCCTAGTTGAAAGGATTTAGCTAGATGGTAGTAGCTGCATGCTGACAGACTCCTGCAATGCTTTTAAGATAAAAAGAGAAGTAGTAAGTTTTACAGATCATTGCTGTGTACCTTGTTGGATCATGCATCACTACACCTCCTTCTTGTATGGCTTCAGCTTCCTTTGGCAGCGTTTTTAAGCAATTGTTTCTATCAAGTCAGATGGATACTGGTTTAATACATGACAACACCCATTCATAAGGCTGATTTTTCTTTCATTTTCTCCGTTAGCATTGGGTCTTCTTCCTCATTTAATCTCTGCCCCAGTGACTTACTGTTACTGCTGCAGCCCTCAGGATGTAAGACAACATTTCTGTATTTTTTCTTCATCAGTAGACCATCTCCTTTCACATCTTGACCGAAGATACCGTTTCTCATGATTTCTTACTGCTTTTGCTGCGGCTTTTTCTGGCTGTTCTACTACAAATCAGAGGAAAACATAGTGGAATATATTTGTGTGGCAAGTGCAGTAACACCAGCCTCTACTGCCATAGTGTATTACAGGTGACTCTGTGGCCAGCCCTCAGTCTGGAGACTCTACATCCTTATGTTTCCCTGATTCAAGTATGAGCAGAAGGAAATACCTGCCTTTCTGCAGTTGGATGTCTGCCAAAAGTTTTAAGAGGACTTTGAAATGTAAAATATAAACCAACATATTTTAATTCCTGAGAAATATTGCAGTGCCATGCAATCAAAAGATAAAGTTTTTTATTTTAAAATAAAGAACTACTGATTTGCTGATAACTACAAATGGTATGAAACATTAAATATATTGGATTCTTCGTGTGGTTTGTCAGTGTCCAACCATGACTGTCACTAAAACTCACCTGGCAAATTGTCCTTCTCTCATTTATGGTGCTCTACCATTAAAGTAACTTCTTTTTAGTCATGACTTCAGAAGATTATTTGCATATTCCCATTGGTGTAATCATGAATACAGTCCCACAGTGTAAACAAACCAGCATTTGTAGGTGTCACCTGTTAAAAGGGAGTAAGATTATTCTTCACGTATGACTTGCCTTTTTCCCATACTCCACACCCACTTAACAGCTGTACTGGAAATAAACACTAACCCTGTTAAACAGAAGAGTAACCACATAGTGTAATTTAAATAAGAGCTGATTTAAATAACTCTTGTTAAAAACTCATGCAAAAAAACACTGTTCTGGGGCATGCAGCACTCAAAAGAATGGGACACAAAGTGTGTTAAGAAATTATTCTGGTTGCCTGTTACCATATTAAAGATTGCTTTCTGAAATTAGCATGTGTCTTTAGTCACAAGTTTAAAACATTTTCTACACAACGCCTACTTGATTGAGTTTTAATAGAGTATTTATTTTGTCAAAAATAACATTAGTTCTTACTAGAACTTTGTCTTTTAATATTAATAATGTACCCTATATATTGTGTTGATATCTGTTGAGATTTGATGTTTGTGATATCTAAAATTTTTTAAATGAGAGCTAATATTGGAGTTTACTTGTAGACTCAGAATAAGTTTCATCTGGAGCAATATACTAATTAGAAGAAAAATAAAAACATAATTTAACCAATTCATCACCGGACAGGAAAGGAACAATATATACAAATTAGACATGAAACATTATATAGACATTAGAAATCCTCTCAGATAATGCTAAAATATATGTGACTTGGAGAAGATCAAAAGACTTTAATCACAAGCTGCTCTACAATAGAGTGAAATTGCTGATTGAATATATTAAGAATAAATCCACCAGCAGTACCATAAAGTTTCCTGGACTCAGTTTTGTCTTCTGATTCCCCAAGGGACATCACTGTGCAGCCTAAAAAGCAGATCAGACCTGCAAGGCTAACAATTCATCAGGTGGAGCTAATTCAGATTTTATTGCAAGTAAATGAAATTATATCTACACAAGTTAAGAGTTAAGAATATGGTCCAACACAATTTTGTAATTAGTTTTTTGACATCAGAAAAAAATAGGTGTATTTCCAGAGAAATTCAAGGGATCAACACAGCTCTAGTACCAAAATTGCTACATAAACTACATAGTTTTATCTAATTATTTTAAAATTCTAGACCCAACCATGCATAAGCTTAGGCTGTACTAACATCTATACAGGAGTAGGATTTTGAAGGTAAATTCTATGGGTCCAGTACTAAAAAAGGTACCTCCACTCTGTGAAACAGATGGCAAAAATAATTAATTTTCCCTTTTCCTTATCTTTCTATTCACTTTGAGAGGCAAGCAACACTGCATTGTAAGCAAAATTTTCAGTTGGGAGTATAAAGAAATACTTCTCTTATTTTCAGTTAAATAAAGTAAAAAACACAAACCCACAACCACCCAGAAGAGAACCTAAGAAAAACACATTCATAATTCATCAGAAATAATGCTGACTGTGAAATACCAAGTCATTTTCATGCAGTTTGCACAGAGATAGATGTGAGGAAAAGGAGAAGAAATAGGAGTGCTATGTGTCGCATTTGATGCCCTATATAATAGATTTATATACACAGAAAACTTATTCCAACAGCCCTTTCACCTGATGCTTGTAGAAGTGAGATTGTTCATTTACCTTCTCCTTAATAGATGGGAGTAATTCCTAAATGGAGTCCAAAGATCCATAAGAGAAATCTTATTCTTTAGTAGGATGACCATCTGCTGCCTGCCCCTACTCCTTCAGCAATCTGAGGCCCCCAGACGCAGGTACCCTGTGCTCTATTCCTGCAAGAAAACAGGATGAGTGTGAGCTGATGCTCAAGGCTGCTTTGTTAAAATATTTTGACTCTCTGGAAGATCAGCACGGAAACTGGGAGATGGCTGGGCAGTGCTGCCTTCATCCCCTCTTTCCCAGTGATCTCACAGGGAGCTGTCCAGGGGCATGTGAGTGGAGAAGCTGTGGCAAAGCCATTGCTCTCCCTGCCTGCATTTCCTAAGCTGGAAACACCACACGCCTTCCAGAGCATGGGCACCACACATGCACCCCTCCTCCACAGTTTGGAAGGGTAAAAAAAGCATGGGACTTTTCAAATGCTGCTTTGTGCTATAAATTCCTTGTCTATGTCCTTTAAAAAATTCCAAAGTAGTTTGATATTCCAAATATTAATGGTTCCATGAGCAAGGAGTTAATGAAGCATTTTAGTCCTTCTCTCTTCCTCTTTCTCACTTCCCTGCTGTTGAATAAAGGATGGGCACATTAACCTTTCTTTCAGCATGGTATTCAGCATTTACTTTCCTTTGTGTGGACACTGATTCAAACAAAGCATATAGGAACTTAGTATCTTGGATAGAAAAACTTCCTGTTGAAATATTCTGGCTCTGACTGGTGGATTCAGAAGTTACTAGAGAAACAGTTACACATAGACACAGAGGTACATTCCAATTACAACTGCACTTGTGTAACAGCCTTCGTACAGGCTGTAAATGAGCAGGAAAAGGCACACACTGAAATATTTCTGTATTTCTTCTAATTTTTAAATCAAGACAAATGCAAAGCGGTACCAAACTTGAATAGATTTTTACTCCCTTCATGCTAGAGCTTGATGGAAACAGGACAGTCATTTAACCAAACACAGACTTTTAAACATCTCTCCCTGCCTTCACCTAGAAATTTTTATAACCCACAGTTTTCTAGTAAAGAGGTGGAACAATCATAGTTAATATTAAATCATTTCTTCTTGAACTTTGTAGCATTTTATTACTGAGGTTATAGACAGCAATCACATTTTATTAGGGCATTCACTGATTCTGAAAGTTATGTGCATTCACTTCTAAAATCACATTGGCTGTTACGTGCTGCTTTTTGACAGCAACCTTGCACAGGAGGTTTCCCACTGTTAGCAGCAAGCCATCTGGAGAGTCCAAATCCTTCCCTACCTATATAATGATTTGGAAACCATGCATGCATTCAGGAGTAAAAAATAGTCTCTGGAGTGCACTTGTCTTATAAAACTTTGATTTGGGGTGATTTGCACCACTATAGCATAAGAAAATGGAGTAACAACTCAAACTATATGTCTGCAATGACTTGTGAGTGATCTCCTAACTGCATTTGAAAGAAAGTTCAACCATTCCTTGAACCGATGTGCTTCAGGCTGAACAGTTCAGACAGATGTTTAATCACTTCATATTCACTAGGAAATGGCTATTCAATGGCCATAGAATTTAAAAGTGGCACTATGAGATGAATGCTTCATGTTATTCCATATTTGCATTCCCTCTTAGAATCATAAGTAAAAATAGTTCAGCTGAATCCAGCACAGTTTTATCACATAAATTTCAATTATTATGTTTTTTTGAAATCATTAGATACCCTTCTAAATTTTTAGAAGCAGAAAAGCCCAAAGCTACTGTGGCGAGTTGATGTAAATGAACAGAGATGAAAAAGGATCTTTAGCTTCTGAGAAAAGCAGGTGTAAACTGGGTAAAAGGTGAGCACATTGTTTAACTGAATCTGCAGCAATAATTATAAGGAAAATATTTAACTTAGAACAACATAAAAAACCCATGACCCTGAAATTTTTAACAGGTAATTCATCAAGTTTCAGGCTGAAAATACCTCTTCAGAAGAAAAATTGCAATGAATCTGCAGTTGTTTGTTACAGTACGAAATACTATGAAACACTTTCCTAAAAGAAAGACACAGTGTGGTTTTGATAAGATTAAGGTGAATTTCAGCAAAGCATACACATTATTCTTCATTCTACTGTTTGGCAATTTCAGTGTTGTTCTTCAGAAAAAACAACAGTTTATAATGATTAACGTTCTGTGCTGTGGGAAGCATACACTCTACAACAATACTACTCTTGTGTCACACTAGCTTTCCTCATCTATAACATCAGCACAAATAGTTTTTCAGATGAGTAACCAGCATTTCTGAGATAAGTCCTCCCTTTAACTATAATTGATAAGGTGTGATTGTGTATTTCAGTGTCAACAGAGGCCTCAGAGAGACTTACAAACTTCCATTGAATCCCATAACAAAAGCTCAGGGCCCAGCTGAGGGGAGGCAAGGGTTTAGCAGGCAGATGTGACACTCCCATTCCTATCTTCTCCTCTCAAGAGATAGTGTGTCACCACAGTGCTCAGGGTTAGACCTTTCCTCTTCAAATTGAGAATCCATTTCCTCCACTCCTGGAAATACTCTATGTAACTTGCATTTTATATTGGCAAGATAAATTATGCAGACTAATAGACGCATCTAAATGTATTCTCATGCACGCCTGTTTTCCAATCCTTGTTAGTGGAAAATGCAGAAAAAAAATTCTTTAAAGTCACGTTATAATTGCAGCTGGCAGTGTAGAACTCTGACATGCCACCAGAGAGTTCTGTGTTTAAACCTGTATTCAGATATTTGACAGAATTGAGTTCACTGTGCAGATGAACAATACCACACCTGTACTGTTGTCAACCACCATTCTCTGCTTCTCTAACAAACAGAACTTGCTCCTTCTCTGCCCCAGCAGCATCCCTTACAGTCACACAAACCCTTTTAGTCTGCATCTCGTCCTCCTCACCTTCAAGGTTTTACCCAATATCCAGCTCCCCTCTGTCTTCTCCCACAACCTTCTCTCTTCCTTTAAAGCAGCCTCCTAAGCCTCCTGTTGCTTCTCTTGTCACTTAAGAGCAGTTTTACATGTGTGATGTTTTACTCATCATACTTGTAACATTATTCCTCTTTATTGCCACCCTGCCTGCTGGAAATGATCTCCTACTTCTTTTAAGTCACAGAGCTTTCTTTACCTCCTTCGACATCTTTTTTAAAAAGCTATTTCTTCAGCAACAATTTACAGTTATGCTATACCCACTGGTGTGTCTTCATCTGAGTGCCACTGGCCAGAGAGGGCCAAAATGTAACCATCTGGGCACAGTATTCACTCACACTTTTGCTTGAGGCTCGATAGCTGTCAAATAGGCATCTCATTTGACAACTTGATTAGGTAAGACCCAGGTTACATTTTCCTCATGTCAGTGTTCTGTTATGACAGGAACAGATTTGGGGAATGTTCTTGCAGCAGAGAGGTGTTGGCTACATGATGTTTAGCTTTTATTTATAAGCATTCCTAGTAGTTAGGACAACAGGAACTTTTTCTTGCTGTTAAAACATTGATAATACTCTTAAAGATCTCCACAAACTGAAAAAACCCTCAAAACTTAGCCAGTAGTTACTTAGCCAGCTCACAAGTTTGTGAGCTTGTTTTAATTTATTTTATACCACAATTGAAAACGTTGTTGATTATGTGTAGTCCCAGACTGGACTTAAGTGTTTTGGTGACAGAATCTCACCTTTTCTCCTGCTTACACTGCTAATGGCAGAGCAGCCTTCTCCGGCTTTGGAGTCAGAAGACTGAAGTCAATAAGAGCATTCTCCTGCAGGAGGATCTTCCTCTCCAGAAGCAAACTTGTGTATCTTTGCCTTCAGGATTAGTTTCAGGCACATTCAGTTTAAGGCACATAATTGTTTTGGTCAAAGGCTGATTTTCTCATTTTGACAGATAACATTCTTCTGCAACACATTTATTGATGTGCCATGGAAACACAACGGTGTTTGTGTTCTGCTGCACTTACACATGTCATAAACTTTACCAGCTCCTTCCAACATAAGAAGTGGTGCATTACTGGTTTTGTTCAATGTGATCTAAATGCTTTTCCTTATCTACATGTCTTTCAGAAGTAGGCTGGAACTGGTCATTTGTGTTACCTTTTAGTTATACACAATCCTCATTAAAGTCATGTTTCTTTGTTCCTAGTGCAAACTGGAGGCATCTGCTGCCCCACCATCTTTCTTAAAATGGCAATAGTAGCTGCATCTGAAAATCTTCTGCAGGCAACACGGTGTTTGGGATGTGTATAGAGCTGGTTATGCTATCGATTTTATGGGCTTTCACTGGTTAAATTACAGCAAATACAGAGGAGCAGATTTTGTGAACCGCTAGCAGATGTTCACTGTGCTAGTTTTGTGAGGCTTGTAAAACAGCAGGAACAGACTATGTGCAAAATAATTTTTTGTGATTTTGCCATCTTGCACTGTTCTCACAGCACTGGCTCGGTAATGACAGGATAAAGCTCGGGAGGTAAGCTTTGATTGTGGAGTAGCTGCTGTTGGGATCTTCAGAAAGCCAGACCTGTAAAGTGTAGTTTGTTTTCAAAAGCCTGTGGCTGAGACAGCTGGCTTACACGGGAAATAGAGAGTCATTTATGGTACAGTCAAGTGCTTGACCTCTTATTCAGGTATTAGGTGTTACAATATGGATGCTGAAGGTTTAAAGTCTCTCAAAATTTGGTTTCTTTGGATGTAATCTGTGATAGCTTTGTATGAAATGGCAATTTGGGTTACATTATCCTGTTAGCATGATATCTTTGATTTTTGTGATTTTTTTCAACACCTTTTTGTTCAGAGGAGAAAATGATCAAAGAACTGTTTCATGTAAAAAGCAAGAGTAACAGAATCTGTATATTTCAAATATATTTTTCAAATAATTTAAACCTGGCCCAAGTGTATCCATGTGGTGATTTACTGTCCTCTCTTGAGCCAACAAATCATTTAGTTCAAATAGTTTTGTAGTCAAATACATGTTGTAGGCAGAACAAGAGATTTTTAATACCAAATCAGCCTTGCTCTGTATCTGTGTGGGAAAACATGAACGGCAGCACACAGCCTCTTGTGCCTTTGAAAGCGAAGTTAAGACAAATGGAAGAAGTAAAGATTTCAATGTTTCAGATGT